CATTTTTTCATTTCAATTTGCTTTGTAGATGGGGTGGAATTAAAAAAGTTCTACTTTTCAAGCATGTGGTTGAATTATTGCAATTTTTGTTGTTATTATTATTATTGTTATAATTATTATTATATTGACTAAGCAATGGATCTGTGTATTCAGAATAAATGTACTACTATTACTGCTTTTAGAGGTCATAGCGGTAACAGATCGGGACACCCAGACAGCCCAAAGTGTTCCCAGACCAGAGAGGATATCATCGCTGTCAGGCAAAATGCTTGTACCTCCATTTTTCATTAATTTCTAAATCTGTGGGTCAGGCTTGACATCTGTTTGTGGTTTCATGGAAGACAGTCCAGTTAAAAGTATCAGAAAAAGTTTGTTTTATTTTTTAGTGTTTAAATCCAGTGAGGTTAGAACATTTTTTTTCTTTTGATAAAAATGTTCTGGAAAACATGCAAAACAAGGTAAAGAACAATCCTTTTTTTCTGTGTTGTAAAAGAAACAAGCAAGGCAAGAGATGATGCTGCTCAAGGAGCTGCAAGATTACTGACCTGACCCCCCCCCCCCCCCCCCCCCCACACACACACACACACTTGTCATTTGATGTAAACATTAATGTGATTAGAATTCAGGATGCGCCCTGAAGATGCTCATTCACCTCCTTCATATTAACCCTATTAGCAGCTTCAGTAACAGAGCGCCATGATACGGGCTGCCAGGAAATTACTGTTGTTATTGCTCTGACTCCCTCACCCACACAATGTGAAGTAATGAGAGGGACGTTTAATGTGCTTTTAGGGGGGACACACACAATTCTTTAAAACAATAATTTCAATTTAGATCAAAGACCCAAATATTATGCTCTGTAACACATTAAAAATATTTATTAACAAAAACATTTCAATAGATTGTGATTTTTTTTCTTTGCACACTCATAATTTTAGAATTAATCTTGTTTTTGTGTGTGTGAACTAAACTTAAGAGTAGAAGTATTCACAAAACCAATTAAAATCACGCTAATAGACCGATTCAGATCAGAGAGGGTCGGCGGTTGGAAGACTGCAGTGAATCCAGCATCATCTGAATTGTGCCATCTGTACATAAAGCACACACACACACACACACACACACACACACACACTCACACTCACACATGAGCATAAGCACAGCCACATCAGTCAAGCCAAATACTGGCTTGTGCTAGGCAACCGTGCCATCCCGACGCAGATGGCAGCATCTGATCATGTTTATTTTACTTTAATCTAATGCATTTAAGTCCCCTTGCCTAGCCATTCGCGCGTGCGCGCGTGTGTGTGTGTGTGTGTGTGTGTGTGTGTGTGTGTGTGTGTGTGTGTGTTTCTTAGGGTAGGGAGTTCAGACAAAGAGGTCAGGAGAGACGTACTGATCATCCAACAGACTCCACCTTCACAGTCAGTTTAATGTTGAACAGTTAACTTTCCAGTTTGACAAAGATTTGTATCGTTTCACTCTTGGGCTTCATATTTTACCAAACAGGAAGGGTGGAAATGCATAAACGGTTCCAGATCCTTTAAAGATGTCCTTAAAATCACAAACAAGGTGGAACAGCGCATGTTAGAGTTTTAGAGCTGGGTGAGGTTATTCCACTTTAATCCGTCCTGTCACACAAAACAAACAATAAGTACAAAAAACAGACTTACTTTGCTCTCTGCCCTTGTTGTCACCTGACAACTCTTTTCAAACTCTCTCAGTCGCTCCAGTTGCTCTACATGCTGACATTTATAATTTAAGTCACACCCTCCTTTTCAACAGCAAATCGAGTAATTCTGCATATTGTGCTTGCTATTGAAAGTGAGTCCTCTCAGCTGTATTTTGTGTAATAAAAGACGCTTGAAGCACATCTTATTTCAGAATAGATAAATGATATCTATTTGCAAGCCACAGTATTATCTGAATCTGAAATACTGAGAATTGTAAGGTTTGGAAAAAATAGTTAGCCTAATTTTTCTTTACAAATTTTTCTCTTTAATTCTACTTTTGATGTAAGCTGTTACACGATACCCTAGGGCATGGACGTAATTTTGGGGGGGGGGGGGGGGGGGGGACAGGGGGGACATGTGCCCCCCCGCACACTTTTTCCATAGTCAAGTTTGACCCCTGCACATTTTACCATCCAAAAAAAATTACGCTATATTAAATTGACACTGGTTGAGCTCTAGGGACCCCCCCCCCCGTGTCCCCTCCACTTCTAAAGTGAAAATTACGTCCATGCCCTAGGGAGAAGTGGAGCATGAGATTGACAGCCGGATTGGTGCTGCGTCTGCAGTGATGCGGGCGTTTGACCAGTCTGTCGTGATGGAGAGAACTGAACCAGAAGGCAAAGCTCTCGATTTACCGGTCAATCTATGTACAACCCTCACTTATGGTCACGAGCTTTGGGTGGTGACTGAAAGAACAAGATTGCTGATACAAGTGGCCAAAATGAGTTTTCTCCGCAGGGTGGCTGGACTCTCTCTTACAGATAGGTCATCTGGGAGGGGCTCGGAGTACACCTGCTGCTCCTCCACATTGAAAGGAGCCAGTTGAGGTGGCTCTGGATGCCTCCCTGATGAGGTTTTCCAGGCAGGAGGAGACCCAAGGGAAGACCCAGACTATGACCCTAGGCTGGCCAGGGAATGCCTTGGGATTCCCTCGAAGCTGGCCCTAGGGAGAAGAATGTCTGGGCCTCTTGACTTAGGCCATTCCTACCGCAACCCGACTCTGGATAAGAGGTTGAAAATGGACGGATGGATGGATGGATTGTAGTAAGTCAATTGGATCTGTTTTGATCCAGGCCCTAATGCAAAAAGAGTAAAGAATCCTTTGCTTGAAACTAGGTTTTAAATCCACTAAGTCTTTAAAACAATCAGTTTTCAGTGTGAAGTAAAAGTCTAAGTGTTTCGGAACTGAAGCAGATAAAAAAAAATGTCCAGATGGTAAAGATTCAGTGGGACGACCCTTTAGCTAAATGCCAAATCAGGAGCTAGAATTTGAAGCTAACTTCAGTGCTTCGCTGAGACCATCTGGTCTGAGTTCTGGTGACTCTTTAGCGTCAACCTATGTCTTTGTCTGCTTTGACACATTATTTGCACATCTGCATGTGTGTCAGACAGCATGGTTATTTTTTTGGTTCAGTCAGATCCTGTGTGTGCAGAGGCACATCTATTTATACATCTCCTGGTTCTCCAGTCCCTGCATCAGAAGGCTGGTCTGTCTGTGGAGGCATCAGGCTGGAGGGGCTTTAGGTTCTTCATCCCCCGTGTCGACTCTCTATCCCTGCAGGCTTAGCGGCGCAGGCCTGGGCAGCTGCCACCAGGCTGGGATAAACTGCTACTTCTCCACCAGAGTAATGAAAACACACAAGCAAACCTATTAAAGTTATCCACGATGCTGCGATGTCACAAACAAAGTCAGGTTACCACGCCCGTATGGCTTAACTGGTCTGGTGGGGGAGCGTGTTTTGAGACATAAAATTTAACCACCCCGGTTTGGTCGAAACCCGGCAGTTACGGCTTGGGCTGAACACGGGGCAAGCTTGTCTTACTTGTTTACTTTTGACTTGCTTTCTTTAATATTAATATACTTCAAACTACCAAATGATATAAGATAAAGATTCACAGGCATGCACAATCCGTATAGGTTTCATATCCAAGGACGGTTTAGTCGAGACTCCATCTTTGTAACATTGTGTTCTCAGCTGTGTCGAACAACCATCAGCCACCTATTGACAAGTGCTGCAGAGGTGCGCAGCAGGAGCAGCCCGGGGCTACGTATCGGACCAGACAACTGCACAGCACTGTTGACACAGTTATCAAGGCTTAAGAGAGTGTTGTTATAGTTTGTTTTTACTCCAAGAAAACTGCAAACATGTTCTGTTTTCGGCACGTCTCTTCTGAAACACTCATTTGCTTCAGTCGTGTACCACTTTTGACCAACCTCTGCCTCACCCTGTTCCAGTAAGTTATGTAATCACAGTGTCTGTGTCATTTGGGCCCTCATATTGACAGCTTGGTCCTGAACCCAGCTGTGTTGCCAGCCTGCTCGAGGTACAACACCAAATTATGTAGTAAAAACCATTGATCCCATTACGAAACGTACGTTTCTGTGTTGCAGCGATGCATGTTTGCACTTTACATTTGGCTTGGCCAAATCATTAGTGTGACAGACTTTTGGCACCTATGAAATGTAGGTTACGTAACTTGCCATGTGTGTGAGCTCAAAGCAGTCCTGTCAGCTGATGTTATGTGATCTGCATTGACTGCAGACCAGAAAAGACCAGAACTCAGGGGTTTAAGGCGTGCTGATAAACAGCTCACAACTTATCTGGTTTTACTGGTCACAATGTAAATGGGATTATGATACCTGGTTAGCTGAAAGGAACCTAAACTATGAGTTTTTTTTTTTGGGTTACATCAGGACATCTTGCGGAAAAAAGCTTTTACTTTAATGTCTACCATTGGTTTGTGCTCTCATTTCAGACCCCCCCCCCCCCCCCAAAAAAAAATGTAACATTTTTTATTCTAAATTTTAAATATTACAGAATGTTTTAGTTATTTTTTATCCTATTTAAACATTAGGATCTTCAAAACTCAGAGTTAAATATTTTCTAAATGTGTTTTTTAACTTTAAAAAATCCAAACATGGGAAAATGTAAAGCTTAGACGTAAAAAAATGACAAAATAAACAAAAAAAACTATTAAGGAAGATTTCTCAAAATGCATAAAAGTAAAAAAATATTCTGTTACAACTTTGCACAACAGAAGAAAAAATAAAATGTCAGAATTTACTATATTTCAAATACAAGAATGTTGCTTATTTTTGTGAGCAGCTTATGAAGAGATGTGGGTTTGCTGACTCCATCCTGCCCTCTCGTGGCTTCCCTTTAGACTACACTGGCAAATACACATCCTAAAAATACATTACCCACAATCCCATCCGAAGTACAAATGAATGAATGCAATATGAAACTGAATGAAATACAAACTGCATCATTCTATATGACAAATTTAATGCTGTTCCAAGCATAAATTATATATATCAGCACTTTTTAAAAAACTACACCTGCTTGATTTTATAGATAATACATTTACAAAGTATTTCGACAGTTAGCAACACTTTGTTATATAATAATATTAAAAACCTAGCATATCAAAATACATACCATTTATACATGTGGCTTAACAATAATTAAGAGCTATGACTGTACAAAGCGGATGATCTCACTCAGATCGTAGCCGGTAACTACAAAAGCATAGCCATCACCATCACAGAATTTAGCGCCACAAATCTGTGTGTCGGTCACACACTCATTATGCAAATGGGCAACCTGGGAGGAAATCAGGAACAAAAGTCAAGGAAATAATCATGTAGAAAACGTTAAAAAAGGGTGGGTGTAATAATAATGCTGCAGTTGGATTAGGGGACCACAGGTTGTGTTATTTACCTCCATGCTGTTGGTCTCTGGTGTCATGGCCAGGTGCCACACTCTAACAAATGAGTCTTCTGCAGCAGACAGAAGCTAAAGCAAATGCACAGAAAGCCTGTTAACTCCAAAGTCTGCCTTTTCATAAAGGTGTTGAATACTCGTTTATCCATTACATTTGCAGTGGCCTCTAGCAGGAATGAATGCCTTGTATGTCATACTCTGGGGGGAAAAAGCCCAGGAACTAGAAGTGAGCCACATCAGAGCTCAGGTTTTGGAGTTTTATTTCCTGATATTTGGACATCTCGCCTCAGATTGGATAACAGCAATGTGACTCTACTGCTGCTTGCTTTCAAGCTCTGATGCTTTTTCTCCACAAATAACACAGGCCTGAACAGGTTCTGCTGTGTGGTCAAGTTTCTAATGCTAATGGTTAGCTTCTACTAGCCTCTAATGTTCTTTGCTGTTTCCTGGACGCTAAACCAACAACAGCCTTCCCCGACGTGAGCCATGATGGGTGAGTCCATTAATGTTAAGAGACCATGTGACATAGATCTGTCAGGCTTGTGAATTTATGACAAAGTGTGACTGATTAGGACTTTTTTTTTCATATATTCAGGTCATAGTTAAATGTCCTAAACTTTTCCTTGAGAGTTTGTTGGGATAAGTCTGAACTCATCATTCCTATGTACTGGAAACAAAGCTAAATTAGGCTTTTTAAAAATACAGTTGCTTCATACAACTCACCAGTCCAGAAAAGGGAGCAATGTCCAATGAGTAGATCCAGCGAGCATGAGCGTTAATCTCAGCATGCAGAATTCCCGTCACTGCTTCGTAGAGACGGATCTGGCCCGTACCATAACCCGCCACCGCCGTACCTTTCCATAACTTGACAGACGAGCAGGTCATGCTGAGGGATGTGGAGAACATCCAGATTCAATGTCATATAGGGATAAAGAGTAAAACAAGGGATAATTTTTATACTTTAAACTAGCACACTTTGTTTTGCTTTAAAACAATAACACAAATGATTTTACTCAAAGCCAGGAATCTTGTTAAGGAGTTGAAATTCCTCCCCAGACTTCCACACACACAGGTTGCCCCCATCATCTGCAGAAACCAGATTAGCTATGCATTCCTGAAAAGATGGAGACAGAAACAAAGAGAAAAGGACTTTTATGTTTGTTTATTTTTTACCCTTCCTGTATCCACAAAAGGCTAGAGACCATACCTGGCTGCCAGAACACTCTGAAGCCACATCAGTGATGGATTCTTTGTGCTCCTCCAGAACCTCAGACAGGGTAATATTGCTTCCTTTACTGGGGACATCAAATACTAAAATTGCACCTGAAGAAACACCTGGAAAAAAAACTGTGTCAAGTTTGCCTTTTACATTATGAAATATATTTAATTCAGTACTTACCCACACAGATGTAATTATCAGGCACGGCTGAAATTCCCCGAGCAAACACTGCCTGTGCTGGGACAGAAATGGGATCAGTGAGTGAACGGGAGCTAGCTGCTGGGTTTAAAGGAAGCGGAATAAAATCACACATGGTTTTACTTTTGTTTGTGTGGGATATCAATGTTTTATTGTCTGGTTTTAAAAGAGTGCAGCAGAACCACAGCAAGTGCCTACCTGTGGGTGTTTCTGGTGTGTCCAGTGCATGCCAGTACACCATGATCGAGCCATCTGACTCATACATCTGAAAAAACAGGATTAGTTTAAAAAATAATAATCTGATCCAAACACTCACGTTTAAAGAACGGTAACTGGCACAAATCCAATGTTCACCACCAGTGCTATCAAAGACTGGGTTCTAACATTTTTAAATCAAATGTAAACACTTTTCAAGCTCTTTCACTGTGAGTTCTACACAGAATGGCTTCTTGCTGTTGGGGCAAAAAGTCCTTACAGCCATTTCAATACACTCATCATGACCAGAACTGCTTAAAAACTGACGAGAATGAGGAAGAAAAATCCATCTGTTTAAATTTGACAACAATGTTGTTCATAACTGTGTTTCTGATTATCTTATTTTCTTCTATCTTAATTTACACAGCTGTCTGTTTGGGTAGGGGCAATCTTGAAAGAGATTTAATCTTATGTTTGCTGAATAGATAAAAGTACAAAATGAAATGTCAGCAATTCATAAAAGCTGGAAAGATCACTGAAATTGGTGTTTTAACTTTTTGACACCAGAGAACAGCTGCACGGGACTCACCTGGATGCCCTTCTGAGAGGTCACTACAAGCAGATCTCGGGATGGCAGACCACAGAAGGCTGCCTGTCACAATATAAACATTAATAATTTATGTTTAATCTATAGCTACATTTATTGTGGGGCACTAAAACAGAAAAAAAAGATGTGACTTTTAAATGTAAGGTTTAACAGTTCGAAAAATGGCTGCACCTGCATGATGAGCGATGTGCTTGTAGCAACGTTGGGTTCCTTGGATTGCAGCTGACGGTGGGAGTAGTTGAGGCCGTCCCAAGACGCGCTGATCATGTTGACCACGTTAGCATGGACCACCGCGAAGTAGGTGAGGCGCCTCGGTGCGATGCGCAGCACGCCCAGGTTGTTGTACAGCGCTGATGCGCTGTTTTTAATCTGGATGCTCTTTTCCTTGTGATACATTGAGCTGCCTTCAAGTTTGCTGAACAATGTGCGATTTGACGTTAGTCTATGAGGAGAAAAGGCATGTCATCACAGCAGAACTCGCAGTTTTATTAAGAACACGCCTTTTTCAAGGAGTAGCAACACGCTAGCTATGTTAGCAAGAAGGCACGTTCACGCTAGAACTAAACGAAAACGCCGTAACTTTACGTCACATTCGGCTCAAATATTTGCGATGTGGACTACATCAACTTTGATGTTAGCATAGAGGGGTATTTTTATCCCCTGCTACAGACGTATTTGAAGCAATTTAGTTATAGGATTACCTGTGCGTCCTCCGCAGCCATAGAGACAACGTAACTGTGCGTGTTACGTCATCTTTGTCTGTTCCGTTGCTGGGCAACCGTGGGCTTCGCTCGGAAAGGAGGGAAAAGGCAAGAAAAACAAGAAGACGGAGAAAGGTATGAATGCAAATAGACCGTCTTACGGTTTACAACGAAGAATAAGGTTTAATAATTGTTCTTATCTCACGTTGTTGACTTTTTGTCAGTGATTCCAGATATTTAAAGTGATTTTAATTTAGGTGTTCCCATATCAGAGGCGTAAATGCCCAAATATCCCAAATAGGGATATTTCCCACACTGGAGTCCAACTTCCTCCTTCAGACTTTGCTGGGAGATATGGTTTGGGAATAAAACACCCTGTGCCTAACACAGTCTTGGCCAACAATCTCGCTCTCAAAAAGTGAAACATCTTAATTCTTTATAATTCACCATAAACAAAGAAGAAACTGTTTTTACATAGCACCTTTCAAGATAAAAATCACAAGGTGCTTCACAAGAACAAAAACTAAGAAATATGGTTTTAAATGTAGTAAAAAATTGGGAAAATTGAACATTTTTTATTAAAAAAATGTGAAGGCAGAAGGTAATCACAGGATACAGCGAAAGACAAATTTGGTAGGAACTGCAGTATGAAAAGTGAAGACAAATCAACAGGAGATCACACAATGTCAGCCTGAACAGGTGAGTTTTCATCTGCTTTTTAAAGGAGACCACTGATCTCTGAGAGGAAGAGATTTGCAGAGTCTGGGGGCCACAGCAGCAAATTATGTCACCTTTGGTCATTAGATGCACATTGTAAATAGACCTCATTGTTTTTATTAAATATTTTCTATTTTTGTGTGTGTGTTGGGTAGTTGTAGATTCAAAATGTCTCGCCCTGCACCCAAAACCAAGCTTGGCAAACTGAAACGACAGCCAACTGTCAAGGAGATCCGAACACCAACGCCTAAGCCTAAAAAGAAAGAGGAACTTGTTATATCTGGTCGCTTAACCCAGATCCAGTGGGAGGAGATGATCCAGAAAGAGACAGATGAAATAGTAAGGGAGATAATGGATGACCTGTTAAGCAAAGTCATGGATCGCTGTCACAAAGTGGACCTTGAAAGACAGGTACAAACCCAAACAGGCATTACAGAAATCAAATCAGTTTTAACATAACATTCCTTCTTGTTGTGAATCACACATGCACTGAGTCTAACACATCTGTTTATATTGTCTTTTTTCAACATCAAGTGTATACCTCACACTGTGTGTTGGGCTGAGAATTTCCTGACTCAGGCAGTGCAACACCAGTTTGTGTTCCTGGATAAGGGAGATGACCTAGAGGAAACATGTGGAACAGAGGACTGTGAGCCAGAGCCATCAATTCCAGATTCGTGGGCTGAAGGATGTTTGCAAGTTGTGCACAGTGTAAGTCAACAAGTAGTTTGTTTCATATCAACAGAAGCCATGCTTGTGTTCATATCTACATCTTTGTCTCTGATTTTATTTATTTTCATTTGACCAGGAAAATGACTTTTATGTCTCATTGATGGACTTGCAGCCCGTCCAGGGTGTCCCCCTGCCTGTCCCTGCTCCCGACTTGGGAATAAGTGGTGCATGTTTTAATATTTGTTTTCAAGTTTATTTTTGTACATCATAAATTAACACGTGCAGTGCAACAAAACTGTGTGAACTGTCACCTACACCTCAAATTAAAAAAAAGCAGCAATGAAAACATGAACTTACAGTGACATTTTAAAAAATGTTCCACACTGGAAATAATTGTGTTATATAAATGTTAAGATTAAACAAACTTTAACATGCTCTACAAGCCTTAAGAGCAAGAACTAAATATCTATAAGAGCAAGAAAAAATGGACCAACTTGCCAAGCACAGAAGGCAAACGCATCAAGCTAAATCAGAACTAGAAAATAGAACAAAACATCTTCTAATTTGATTCTGATCTCTGCAGAAATAATCTAAAAAATATCTAAACGTCTAAAATGATATGCCAGTATAACAACAGATAAGTCATTTGTTTCTGACCAAATGATGCAAAGCTTGGATTATATTTTAATTATTTTGTTAGTGTTGACAATCTATATTTTGATATTTTAGGAATTGTTGGAGAAACTGACCAGATTCTGGAAATCCTTCTGACTTTTTAAATGACAGCTGATTCAGAAACAGTCAGTCTATCAATCAGCTGCTCTTGCAGCACATTAGGGTGAAGAACTGTTGGTATATTTGTGTGAAAAAGTACAAATAATATAATACAGCCGCAACTTTATTGTTTTGCTGCAGGATGGACTGCAGAGTCATGACTTCACTCTCACTGTGCCTGGTGGAGCTGGGTGGAGCTGGACATTTTTTTAATCCGTTTCTGTCAGAGGAAGACATCACCTGGAGGGCATAACACATCCATTATGTTCCAAGGTCATGTCCATTTTACCTGATGTACAACCTTGGTCACAAGGACTGCGTCACATCAAACTTAGGTGGAGATAATTATTACACCATTTCACTTTTTTTCCTTGCTCATCAAAAAGACACCTAGCAGTTCTTGGTTCTTTGAAGCTCTGAAGAATGCTTTCCTATTTCTGGCTGACTGGCTGTCTTCGTTCTCGGGACAGAACTGTCCGACAGCTGTCTTCGGATGATGATCTTGTGATGATGACCCTTGACCAGCTCACAATTCCAGGTCTTTAATGCTGGGTCATGCTTGCTGACAGCAGAACTTGGGGAGGAACAACTGGATAGAGACGAGCTGGATGAGCTGGAGCATGTCGAGTCGGACTTGGATAAAGAGCAACAGGAGCAGCAAAGGGAAGGGCTGGATGAAGACTCAGAAGATGAGGAGGAGCTTGAGCTTAGTGGGATGTTTGAAAGTGTATCAAGAGCATCAGGGGACTTGAACCTGGAGACCAAGGGGCGACTTTTAGAAAGGTCTGGTGCAGGAAGTCTTTTACGTATCAGCCACAGAGTGTTTGGTCGGTTGACGTTTTCAACTAATTTGGTTGTCCAAACGTAGTGCTGACCAGCCTGAAAACAATAAATAAAAAACTTCATACTGCTTCTGAATTATTGTTCCTTTTTTTAATTTTTAAATAATGTTGTCTGCATATTTTAAATAAAACGTTTATGCTTCAAAATTAGACAAAAAAGTCATACCTGCTAAAATATTACCTGAAATGTATAATAGTTAACAAGCTCTGTGAGTGTTCATAAATATTAAATTACGTCTCAATCACAGATTGCACTGCAGTCTCAGCTTTGACTATCCAACATTTCTTTAATAGCTGATTTAATCCTTCAGTACTGTTTGGCCTAATAAAGTGAATTGTTCCAGTAGTTGATTTAACAACGATGACATTTGTCAAATGTTGATTAAATTTGATTATTTAAGTGATTAACAAAATTTAAGTTAGCTTAACGTTTATAGCTGAATTAAAGGTATTGTTAATAAATCTTATGTGCCCTAAAATAAATAAGGTACGTTATAAGTAAAAAAATAAATACAATTGTTATCTCACTTCTTTCATGATAGCAGCTTCTGTCAGAGTTTGTGAACAGGTGACTGAGGCAAAAGTTTGCAAGTGTTTCAAGCTAAATATCCGAACTAGCTGCTATTGACACTTAGCAAAGATCGTGTGCTTGTTTTTTTTTTATTTTCTTCTTCTTCTTCTACTTCTTCTTTTAACAATCTTTATTGACACATATGCAACAGACAAGACATAACATATTGACAAAACAGCATCGATGTACGGGGTGTGATTCATTAGATATACATTGGCAAACAGAAGAGAAAAAAAATTAATAAATAAACATAACTAATTATACACAAATAAATAAAATAAAATTCCACTAATACGTTACCTTGTAATAGGGGACATAATAGAATTAATCAAATTGGATATTTTCACAGCTTTCTTGTTTTTACTAATTCTACTACAGAGTCAGAAAACAATTAAGATCAATATAAAATAAAGTTACACTTGGTATAGCCTGGAGAAATCTGACTTCATGAATGTGAAATTTACCCAACAGACACAGCAATTTTATTACATCGTTAACTTCCTTGTTACATTTAACGTTTAAGAAAAATACCATACTTTCATTAAAAGTAAAGATCGTGCTTATTGTCACGGTCAATCATTAAAGCCCCTGTCTAAGCATGTCCTGTGGTGTTCCCGATCCAACACACCCGACTTTAATCAGTGGGTCTAACATGCTTTTGTAGAGCTTGGTGACCTGCTGAACAGCTGGTTTAACCACTGAATCAGGTATGATGGAGCAGGGAAACAACTACAACATGTCTGATAGGAGCTCACATAGACCATATGTAGCAGATTAGTTAATTGCTTTAAAATATTTTTGTTTTAATCAGAAAAAGTTGTTTCTTTTTTGCTGCATGTTAACTTATGCGAGAGCTTGCGGTAAACGCAAAATGTAAGTTGTAATAGTATATCAAGTTATTAAACAATAAAACAAACAAATCTTTAAATTCACGGATAACGGAAAATAGAGTAAAATCACAACTTTTCTTTATTGTTATAAATGACATTTCATATGGCCCTCTGGCGCTGCTGCCCCAGCGAATGCCTGAAAAGAAAGTTCACTCATTATCACGGGCTATCATTTGGGAATGTTGGAGTTAACAGTAGACTAGCAGACAGCGCAGTGCGCACGCACGCAGGAGGCTGCTAGTGCAGCCTACCATTTTACAGTGGGCGGGACCTGTGTTAAAAAAAGCAATCAGCATTCGACTTTGCAAGCACTGGGGCCAATCAGAGACATTTGTTTTGACAGCATGTTAAGCTAACCCTTACCACATGTGAGACAAGTAAGTCGCTAAACCTGGATTTGTAGGTTTATGTTATTGAAGAGAGCGTAAATCATGAAGAAGAAGAGGCAGACAGATGTGAAGGAGCAAGCAGAGGTATGAGATAAAAAAATGTGTAGATAATTTAGTCGTTAGTGGCTAACTAGTTCCTAGCTTGTGGCTGGTTTACTGCTGTGAGTGTTTTTGACACGTTTTGTTGTAGTTTGTCTTTTTTTTACAAAGGCAGTTATTCTCAGATAAATAACTCTAAACATAAAAAGGTGCATACACGTGTTATGTTTGTCTACCTTTTCACATTAACTTTATATTAGTTAATTAAGCTGCTGTTCATTTAGATGCATCCTTCAGATTCGTTTCATGATGAGGAGGAGGAGGAGACGAAGGAAGCTGAGCCTTCGGTTAAAGCCAAAAGGATCAGATCTGAGGAGGAGAAGGAGGTAGTGGTCTACCATCCGGTGAAGCTTTCCCGAAACGACCTGTACAGACCTCCTACCGCAGAGGAGCTAAACCAGCTGAAGGAGGCAGAAAGCTTATTCCACTGCAGCCTCCTCAAAATGCAGGTGAGACATAGACATCAGTGAAAATGAATTAGTTGCCTTGCTTTAGACCTTTTTAGTGAGAAATCACGACAAACTTGCACTTCTGTTGATTTGGTCTAAGATGTTCTCTCCTGTAACAGATGGAGGAGCTGCTGAAAGAGGTGGTGCTGAGTGAGCACAGGAAACAGCAAATCGATTCCTTCATTCAGACGGTAACGAAGCTGATCCAGACTGTGCCGAAAACGCCTAAAGTAGAGGTGTGCAGTACTCTAAAGATCATCAGGACCACCTCCTCTCTGTTATCTCCACATCTTTAGTTATTGATTACTTTCTTCCTGTGTGTTTAGGTAAATGACATGTCTTGGCTGTCCGGCGCAGTCAAAGTTCCCTTTCTTCTGTTGCCCAAAACGACAAAGGGAAAGTTCTGCATGGCTCCTCCGGCTTCCGTTGATCTGATTGGGAGCTACGCACTAGGCACCTGCATCAAACCGCACATCAGAGTGGACATGGCTGTCACAATACCAGCTGTACGTTGTTATTAGCCTGTGTAATGATTAAGATGCTATTTAACTTTGAGGCTGATTTATTTATTTTTTCTTCCCCATCAGGAAGTCCTCCAACCAAAAGACTTTTTAAACCAGCGGTATCCAAGGAAAAGGGCTCTCTACCTCGCGGGGCTTGCCCAGCATCTTCAGTCCTCCTCTGAAGTTGTGACGTTGCGTTTCTCCTGTCTCCACGGCAACAGGCTCAGACCCATTCTGTTGCTGACCCCCTCAGGTATTTAAAAGGAACCCAGGTTACAAAACTTTGTGGTTCTTAAAAGATAAATGTTAGTATCAATTATATTAAAATGGTGTAAAAAACCCTGATGTCTTCATTATATAAAATTTGTTAAAAATAGTTTAACTCGTAGGTCACCATTGTTGTTGGCGTCGCAATGCACTCTGGGTAGTGACGTCATATGGTTGTACCTCGGTTGCACCACCTGTAGTGACTGTTCAGCCACATCAACATGTCATCTGTTCAGCCTTTTCAATTTGAACCAGAGTGTAGCATTAATGAGGACATCACTGATGGTGTTTCACAAAACGAGCATCAAAATGAAGAGCTAGAAGGGCGGGATGAAGTGAGTGCAGGACAAAACCGGTGGTGCGTGTGCGGTAAATGCGTCTCCATGGTAACCGAGAGGGAGAGTGTTTGTTGTCAAGAGCTCACATTTGTGTCAGCAAAAGTTAACAGTTTGCTATCGTGTGATCAAACTTATTCAGTTATGAATGATCTTGGAGAATTTGAGCAGTCCAGCGTCTCTCGTCTCTGCGAGGGCGTTTATGCTCCTTGTGTGGAAAATTGGTCGGTGAAACATTTAGTTTCTGCCTTCTCTTATATCCAGCTGCTCTGGTGAGCTCTTTAAGTAGTTGTGGTCGACTGTAAGCCTCAAACGCATCAGGAGGAGAACGCTGGGAACACAGCCGCAGATCTTTGGGAAGTTGTGGCATCTTCCCACTGCTTTCTCCTCTTCTTGCCAGTGGGAAAGCTGTGTAAACTCACATCACTCCCCTTGTTGCCCTCTGACTGGAAATTACACCCGAAAGCAGCACAATGCTGCATTTTACCTAAATTATTAATACGATGTGCAAGTGCACGTAAACAAACACTTGCGTCACTAGCTATTCTTCCAAGCACTACCGATATACGTCATCGCCCCCAGAGTGCATTGCATGCGGAAAACATGGCGTCCTACGTATGTCAAAAAATACTAAATATTATAGATTTATCAATAAACAGCAATGTTTTGTGTGTTTCTATCAACATTGTTTGGTACAACAGAAAACTTGTGGCTTATTAGGGCATACACGTCCTCATAGCCGGCGTTCCTTTTAAGCTTAAGTAAACAATATAGAACACAAATTTCCTCCAGCTTTTACTTTCTTAAGCAGTTTTTCATGTTATGAGATGCGTTTTGATGACTCATCGTTTAGGTAAAGACTCTTCCAGTTTCACCGTTGGAGTTCATGCCTGCCTGCCTCCTGGATACTTCAAGCCGAGCCGTTTTCATCCCAAGAGAAATAACATCAGGACTGAGTGGTACACTGGACTGAAGACCTCTAATCCTGGTAGCTGTCTCAGTTAGCAGTGAGAAAAACGTTGTAGACTGGCTACAGGGCTTCTTGCTACATTTTCCACTTTGAAACTGTTCAAATAGAAATGTGTATTCAAACTCATGTGTTTTGTTTTGTTTCAGAGAGCAGTGAACCCCCCACTCCACATTACAACAACTCTATTCTTGGGGACTTACTGCCCAGGTCTCACCTCCAGTTTCTGTCTGCTGTCAGCTCTAAGTGCTCTGCATTCGCCGATGGAGTGGCTTTACTCAAAATCTGGCTTCATCAGCGACAGCTGGACCAGGTAGGACGCTTGTAATAAATAACTAGGACTTATACAGGTGCTGGCCAGTAAATTAGAATATCATCGAAAGGTTGAAAATATTTCAGTAATTCCATTCAAAACGTGAAACTTGTACATTATATTCATGCAATACACACAGACCAATGTATTTCCGATGTTTATTACGTTTAATTTTGATATTTATAGGTGACAACCAATGAAAACATCAAATCTGGTATCTCAGAAAATTAGAATATTCTAAAGGCCAATGAAAAAATGTTTGTTTCTCTAATGTTGGCCAACTGAAAAGAATGAACATGAAAAGAATGTGCATGTATAGCACTCAATACTTAGTCGGGGCTCCTTTTGCCTCAATAACTGCAGTAATGCGGCGTGGCATGGACTCGATCAGTCTGTGGCACTGCTCAGGTGTTATGAGAGCCCAGGTTGCTCTGATAGTCGTCTTCAGCTCCTCTGCATTGTTGGGTCTAGCGTATTGCATCCTCCGCTTCACAATACCCCATAGATTTTCTATGGGGTTAAGGTCAGGCGAGTTTGCTGGCCAATCAAGGACAGGGATACCATGGTCCTTGAACCAGGTGCTGGTGGTTTTGGCACTGTGTGCAGGTGCCAAGTCCTGTTGAAAGGTGAAGTCTGCATCCCCATAAAGTTGGTCAGCAGCAGGAAGCATGAAGTGCTCTAAAACTTCCTGGTAGACGGCTGCATTGACCCTGGACCTCAGGAAACAGAGTGGGCCAACACCGGCAGATGACATGGCACCCCACACCATCACTGACGGTGGAAACTTTACACTGGACCTCATGCAACGTGGATTCTGTGCTTCTCCGCTCTTCCTCCAGACTCTGGGTCCTTGATTTCCAAAGGAAATGCAGAACTTGCTTTCATCAGAAGACATAACTTTGGACCACTCAGCATCAGTCCAGTCCTTTTTGTCCTTGGCCCAGGCGAGACGCTTCTTGCGCTGTTTCTTGTTCAAGAGTGGCTTGACACACGGAATGCGACACCTGAATCCCATGTCTTTCATGAGTCTCCTCGTGGTGGTTCTTGAAGCGCTGACTCCAGCTGCAGTCCACTCTTTGTGGATCTCCCCCACATTTTTGAATGGGTTTGTCGTCACAATTCTCTGCAGGGTGCGGTTATCCCTAGAGCTTGTACACTTTTTTCTACCACATTTTTTCCGTCCCTTCGCCTGTCTGTTAATGTGCTTGGACACAGAGCTCTGCGAACAGCCAGCTTCTTTAGCAATCACCTTTTGTGTATTGCCCTCCTTGTGCAAGGTGTCAATGATTGTCTTTTGGACAGCTGTTAAGTCAGAAGTCTTCCCCATGATTGTGGTGCCTTCAAAACAAGACTGAGGGACCTTTTAAAGGCCTTTGCAGGTGTTTTGAGTAAATCAGCTGATTAGAGTGGCAGCAGGTGTCTTCTATATTCAGCCTTTTCAGAATATTCTAATTTTTTGAGATACCAAATTTGGAGTTTTCATTAGTTGTCACTTATGAATATCAAATTTAAATGTAATGAACATTGGAAATACATTGGTCTGTGTGCATTGCATGAATATAATGTACAAGTTTCACGTTTTGAATGGAATTACTGAAATATTTTCAACCTTTTGATGATATTCTAATTTACTGGCCAGCACCTGTATAACGTTAAATATTCTGTTAGTATTTACCAAAAGCGTCATAACTCTGTTTTATTTCAGGGTGCCGGTTGTTTCAATGGATTCCTGGCCTCAATGCTCTTGGCTTATCTGCTGATCTCTCACAGAATCAGCAGCACCATGACGGCCTATCAGCTGCTACGAAACAGTTTGAATTTTATAGGTGAATGAGGAAAAAATCTGCACTTTTGAAACAAATGAAATCCTTCAATCTGATTCATAAAAGCACCTTTCACTGTTTGGAATGTGTAAGACTCAATTCTTTTGACTTTTAGCATCTACAGACCTGACGGTGAGTGGAATCAGCCTTGCCAAGAACCCTGACCCTACAGCTGTGAGTCAAATGTCAAACTGTAATATTTATGCATTTTCCTGCCTTGTTTACCAATATTTAAATTTCTCTTTTCCCTCTGCAGCCGTCACTAGCGGACTTCCATGACGCTTTCCAGGTTGTCTTTGTTGACCCTTCAGGACATCTTAACATGTGTGCTGATGTGACTGCTTGCACTTACAAACAGGCAAGTGTCATGAAAACCTGCTGTCTGTGTAAACTAATGATCTCATGCTGTGAGATTATCTGACTTCTATTGTTTCTGGTCCACAGCTGCAGCACGAGGCATCTGTTTCTATGCATTTCTGGGACGACCCCTCAGTAGACGGCTTCCACTGTCTCCTCATGACTCCCAAACCCATGATAAGGACAAGTGACCATGTCTTCCAGTATGTAAATCAGATTGTTCGTCATTATTTTTGTTTGAGTTTTACTCCTTAATCGAACAAAAAATGACTAAAGCCGGGCGGACACGGTGCGACTTTTTAACTCGTAGCACTCAGCTTCAGCTCAAACTGTACGACTTCCTCGCAGGGCAGATCTCACGAGTCATGTGCTCACACTGTACGACCCAGTTCTCGGATGCGACCTGACTGCTCACACTGTATGTCTGGTAGCAACACGTCGGCCCTAAAAATATACTAAAAATAGCAGTTTTTACTCAACACGTTAGACTTTTTTGTCTTGTTTTGCCTGTTGTCCTTCGGGAGTGTTGCAGGAGGACACAGGGATTTATGGGGGTTGGATGAGGAAAACAAAATAAAGAAAGTAAATCTGTGTTTTGTGATCAGTTTAATTTGACATGAACACGACAAACACGCTTTCTTGACAATCTTTGTGAGTAAAAAAACATGTAGAAATAAAAACGAACAGCGTGTGTTATTAGGGAAATAGCGGGCGAGCGGTGTTGATGCAGGATTGCGCATGCGCCGTGAGCGGTTCTGATACATTTTGGGTCGCAGCTGCTCGCAGCGCCGCTTCAACAGTGCGACACCCTCACGAGGGACGAGCAAAATATTAAACACACCAGAAGTCCGTGCGAGCTCACGACTGCTGATCGGTAGCTGGTCACGTGGTGTTAATCGCCTCTCGTAACCCCCTGTACACTACACGACGCTCAGCGCAAAACTCGCCCCGATCTTGTGGATTCTCGCATGAGTGGAAAATCGGCTCAAAAAAGTGAAAATGTCGCACAGTGTCCGCCTGGCTTAAGTGACTAAAGTCTGAGCTGAATCACAAGAGTAAACCTGCTCATCATTCTCTAATCTCTGATTATTTGTTTTTTACCCGACTTAGGTTGTGTGACTTGGTGAAGCTTCAGTCCAGCTGTAAAAAGCAGAACCTGCTCTGTGAGTTGATGGACCACAGCGGGGATTACATCCACACAGCTTTGCCTTTTATTCTGTCACTGCTCCAGCGAGGACTCGGCCAGAGGATTCACCTCCTTGCTCACTCCCTCACTCCCTCACCTGTGGTAATGTGTGCTAAATGCGATAGCCTCTTTAAAACTGCAACTAAGCGGCCTTTCAAACTTTATTTTTAATTTTCCTGCAGTGGTCTGTTGAGAGCGAAGCCCCAAAGTACAAAACTCAGCCTTCGCTCTCCTTTGGATTGCTCTTAAACCCGGAGATTTCAGCTGCAGTCCTGGAACGAGGTCCCCCTGCAGACAGCTCCAAGGTAACGTCAACAAACTAATAATTAAAGCTGCAAATCAGGACCATACATTGTCATGCATGTGCATATGCCAGTGCACCAGGATGAATCAATTTAGTGATTTTTTTTTTCTTTTAGGAAACTTGTTTTATGTAACAAAGTCAGGGCCGCCAACTCTCACACATTGAGAGTGAAACACACTCACTCTACTTATTCAATATCTCACACTCAAGAATGTGCTGGTGTTGGCTGGTTGTAGAGAACAGTTTAACAGTAGTTTTTTATATATTTGATAAAACTTTGCTTTTTTTTCCAAACTTCTCCTTGTGACTATTTCTTCCTCCATCATACTTCAAAGTGCTGACGTGTTGTTTAAACTAAGTCTAGAGTACTTTTGTAGTCGAGGAATTGAATGATTTTGAAGAATTATTCAGTCCTAATGTTTTATTGTGTCACGGTTGATTTTACATCCATCAGTGCTGAACCAAAATTAAAATGCTACATAGAAAAAACCTATTTTAGTTCCGACCACCAGCTAAAGAAAAAAAAAACCCTCATTCTGTTAGTTTGATTACGGTAATATAGGAGCAGCTGTTTTTGAATTCTTGCGTATAATCTGCCCATTTTAGGCCGTCTTCTGTTAGTTTTTTTCAAAAATACATTTTGATTGTGCCGCGATTGGTTATAAAAAGTAAAAGTGTTGTGTGTTTCTCTGCTAGGTGCCCGAGTTTCGTCAGCTGTGGGGCCCTCGCTCTGAGCTGCGCCGCTTCCAGGACGGCGCCATCACCGAGGCTGTGCTGTGGGAGGGAAAGAGCATGTACCAAAAGCGTTTAGTCCCCAAACAGATCATCACACACTTGCTACAGCTGTACGTATCTCACGTTAGCTAAACTTAAAAGGAGCTCAACATAAGGGGAAAAAAAGCCCTTTAACACCGGTACTGGTAGTTTTTATTTTGGTACGTGTCGACACAGAATACAGACATAGAATATGGTACCCCACACAGTTAACTGGTCTCTGTTCACTTTTTATCTTACGTGAGAACTGGAGTCTCATATCAAGTGCTGGTGTGACAGCCAGACATGGATGATTCACTTTGGTTCAGTTCATGTATAAATCCAGATTCTATTGTGTAATTTTACTGAATATAATTCATTTTAAAGTATCCATTTGCAGTTAGTTGACACGTACAACCACGATAGTGCTGCCTGCTAAAGTACACTGTGTCTAGATGCAATAACAGATTTTGGATTCTACAAACTAAAACAAGGCATCAAATTCACAGAAACATTCATGCAACAAATTCATCAAAGGTGTACAGAGACATTAAGACAGAGACTGTTCCCTTGCTAACAATGATGTTTAAACCTGTTGGGAGGTGTTAGATTTCAGTTTTTATACGATATATCTCTTCTTTATGTCCAACTACAAGCTACAAAACAGACCTCACAAGTGATTACTGATAAAAACAGACATTTCTCGTCTGTTTTTGCATTTTGACTTCAAATACTGACAATCTGACAGTGTTAGTCAGATTTTTATGACCTTTAACAGAAGTTTAAAAACATGTGAAAAAAAAACTTTTACTCTTCTAAAAAAAATTGAGGTTCTTTATCAAGTTAGTTCTAATAGTAACAGTAGATCCACACAGTGAGGTTCTCATTAATAAAGTGGATCCATGCAACTCTACTTAAAATCTAAAGGTGTATAAAAGCAGCATCTCATCTAATACAGGCATTTAAAACATTTCAGTCCACCTCCCCTTTAGGCTCACTATGCAAGACATAAAATACTTCATAGCTTCATCTTAAGCTAATGGAGTCAAACGTGAACATTTTTTATAAAATAAATATGAGCTTATCCACTCCTGGAAACACATTTACAGTGAGAGTACCACTTTTTAATACTGTCATTATCTGGATCCTGACTTCATGGATCTTTGTTCGCTGCTCCTCTACAGGTAATTTTTGTTCTTGCTACAGAAACGTCACGAAAGGCAAGTTATGCATTTCTGTTTACAAAGATGATCATGTCCACGTGCTCCGGGTTTAGCCTTGTGCGCATTGCCGCAAAGGTTTGTCCATCCTCTGACAATAAAGACGGCAGTGAAACACCAGGAAGACACAAATAATGCCTTGCCAGAGATTCCAGTTTGGGAAATCTTTGTTTATTTACCTTCCACCAGTCAAGAGGGTTGATCTCCAGGGAAGGAGCAATATCTCTCAGGTAATAATCCACCTGGGCTTCCGAGTCCGTGGCGTAGGAGAAACTGTAGTTGTTTCCCAGAAGCAACATCATGGTGTTTTTGGTGTCACTTCTCAGATTTGAGGCCAGAACCTGCTGACTAATGTCTGGTGTGACTGGAGTCTCCTGCTGTTCATCTTTTAGGACGCCAGTAGTAGTCATTGTGTCTAATTTTGAAACCAGTTCATGCAGTTTAACCTTTGCGGCCAGTTTGCCCGCAGGCGTCAGGAAGCTGAGGTGTTTGTGACGAGGATCCAGTATGGACGCAACCAGGGCTGGCTTGGAGGCTAGTTCGTTGGAGTCGATCTGTAAACCAAAAAATCAAATAATAGTCATGGAGAAAATTTGCATGAGTCAACATTAAAGAACTCAAAGGTTTTGCTCACCTCCATGTGATTTCTGAGTGACTCCTGAACTTTCATCTTGAACCACCGGACTTGTTCAACGTCGTTCTCTTTTGGCACAAGATGTGTCTGAATGAGACTGAAGGTTATCGGGTAGATGTTTGAAATGGACGTCTCTGTCTCGGCTGATACGACCGTTGTTGCCCATTTTAGCGTTGCCAGCACTGGTGTAAAATTTTCAATTATTTGCCAGCTGTCATCTTCCATCTCAAGGGCCTGAGCTTCTTTTTTGCTGGTGATGGTTCGGTCAGAGAGAACTGCTTTAATTGCCCACCGTTGCTCTAGCAATCGTTCGAACATGTCACAGATGGTCTCCCATCTAGCTTGGTCTGAATTGATGAGCTTGTGCAGTGGTAGGCACATCTGCACTTGCTTCTGCTCCAAAGCTTCCCTTGCCATTGTGTTGTGGATGAAATGCAGAGCTAGTCTCCCTGCAGCGGCAATGATCCTGATTAGATCCTCACTCAGCCCATCTGTGACTGCAAGATGCAGAGTCATGGCAAAGCAAGCTGCAAAGTCCCAGGTGACATGGGCACAGGCTTTGCCTGACAAGATGTTTTCTTTGTCGTTGTGGATACATGCAGTAACTTTCTCTGCGATGCCCCAAGCCTGCACGGTGCTCAGAAGCTTTTCTGTGATGCTCTCTGTAGTGATGTGGTCCTCTGAGAGCATGTGTGTTTGCAGCACAGCTGTCCTCCCCTTCCAGTCCTCCGTTATGAATGAACAGGACACTGTAACATATCTCTGAAATGGCAGGGCAGCCCAAAAATCAGCAGTGATTGCGACTTTCTCCACTTTTCCCAGTTGCACCCGGAGTTCCTCTGTCTTCTCGTGGAAATGGCCTTCTATGAAGCGCGTGACATCACCAGCAGAAGGCATTTTATAACCATTTACGATTTGTGCTAACAGCTCCCGAAATCCCTCCCCGTCAACCACGCCAATAGGCATCATGTCTTTTTCTATCATTCTGCAGATGAGTTCAGTCACTTCTGTGTGCGTCACCAGTGTCCCACCCTCGTTAGATGTGTTGTCTTTTTCGGAGTGTTTGCTTCTGACGTGGTACATCATGCTGGTGGTGCTGCTCTTGTATTTCAGTTTGGTGTCGCACATGGTGCAGTGAACCTCGTCGTCCACTTTGATGAAAACGTCCCAAACGGAGCTCCGCCTCGAGCGTTTTTTCTCCCCGTGGTCCCGCTCTGGTGGCGGGGTGGTTGCCTCGGTGTTGGAGGACATGTTTGCAGCCTGTGTTACCTCTGAGTTAGACGTATGTCCCTTCTCGGTGCAGGGAACAGTAGAAATCAATGGCTTCTCGTCCTCCTCTTCCTCCAGCGGGGTGTTGGACATGTGCTTCGTCATGTGGGCCATCATGGTGCTGGTGGATGCTCCGCAGTATTTTAACTGAGCATAACATTTCTTGCAGGACACAACATTTGAAGTACCAACTTGCTCAAAACATTCCCACACGGAGCTCCGTCTTCTCCGACCGCGCTGCATGCTTTTTTATACAAGGATTTGTTTTGGGACAGCAAATAGGTAGCACACGTAAACGCCTGCAGATTAGAGGGTGTGTGACGTAAACACTTTAGGGTACAGTTGCATTTTTACTGGTTGATTTCCTTTGTTTTTGCCTGAATTTAAAACACCGTAACTACTGTAATTATGGTTAAATATATATATTGTTTTGTCGTTTTTGTTTTTTAATCAGGCACGCAGACATCCCCGAATCCAGTGTGCGTTTTGTCGGGGCGCTGGTTGATGACGTCGTCAAAATGGGACGCGAGGTAAATGGTTTTAATTTAATTCATTTTTATTGTATTAGCTTCAAAATGAGTAGATAGGGATTAGAAAACGTAGATTAGAATGTGTTTCATTTTTATTTATTTTAGGATTTTTTTCTACATAAGAAAATAAAGTTTAAATAAATAAACTTTATTTAAAAATGGGCAAGTATAGTTAAGAGAACAAATAAAGTATACAATATAGTTGAATTCATGTATGTGGACATTCAGCCAGGGGAAATAATCATACAAATATATGCAAACATTCACAAAAATCAATCGGTTTGTGAGTTTGTGAAATTAGAGTTCAATATAATTCTACAGCTTTAAGAAAATAAGGAAAATATGGCATCTTATTAGCAAATTTACATTTATGGATCTAGAATTTAGCAAAGAGGATTAACAAGTTTATTACAAAAATACGTATTTACACACTTTTTGGGGGGTTTATATAAACAAACACATATTCATGTTTGTAGAAAAATCCTTAAAATATGTTGATTAATAAACACAACTCCTTCCAAGAAAATGTATTCATGTATTACTATTGTTATAATTTTTTTTGTCATTACAAAAAAATTAAAAAATGAAGTAGAAAATCTAACATATTTATTTTACAGCAAAGTTTTTTTTTCTTTCAAACATGATTCATTTGTTCTAATGTGGTATTTTTGTTGGCATTTGTTGTAATAGGAAAATAATTAATAAGAACTTGTACATTTTTATTCAACTTTTATTTAACCTGAAAGAAAAATCCAGTTGAGATTTAAAACCTATTTTCCAAGGGAAAATTTGCAAGATAGGCAGCAGGGTTGTAACAATATTGGCAATATCGCAATATTGCTGTAATAAAATTGCCACAACATCGTCGTCGTCTTGTTACAATATTGTACAGTATGTCCTGAGGTAAAAACAACACTTTTCAGTCTGCTTCACAGGAGCATAGCAAAGTAAACTACATAGACCATGATCCTTTACTTCCGTGTCATCGGCCAGTTTGGATATTGATACACCCCTAATATGCAGCCTTAATTATACAGCACAAATGACCATAAATATCATAAAATAAGACTTGTCTGATTGTTATTTGAGCAGCTTGGTTAAAACACAACTTTACCATTTATTTCTGTAATATTTACGTTGATTTGCCTTTTTTTAAATTTGTTAAACTAGCTACCTATTTATATAGTTTTATATTGTGTAAACTGTAGGTAATAAAAGCCCAACATGAAGTTCAAAATCCTAAATTGTCTGCATTGTCAGAGGTATCCTGATTGTCAATATTATTAAAAACACTTGCTCTGTTGTTTAGGTGCCCAGTACTGGGGAGGAAGAGAGTTTGGTGGTGGTTCAGTCGTACGATGACCTGAGCAGAAAGCTGTGGAAACTTGAAGGTTTGCCTCTTTCCATTACTGCCGTTCAAGGAGCCCACCCTGCTCTAAGATACACACAGGTAAAGACGCCTGTTGATATTTTAGTGATGCTGAAGATGTGCTGTTAATCAACTTGCATCTTTTTAAAGATCCACATGGATTTGACCTCCAGTCAGTTTTAACCATTCAGTGGTGTCTTCCAGGTCTTTCCCCCTGAACCACTGGTGCTGGATCATTCCTTCTTTGACAGAGATAAAATTTCTAGATCATTGGTGCCAAAGGATGTCAAGCCTTGTCCACAATATATAACTCCCATCACAGGTTGGTACCAACAACTATTGAAAAAGTTTGGTTTTTTTAACGATCGAACCCATTTTGGTGAATTATAATTGGATTTTTACATGTAAACGGAACTTAATTTTTCTTTTGACTTTGTTGCTGCACAAGGGTCCTGTCACCTTTTGTCCCATCTAGACTTAGAATTCCTGAATGCTTTTTAATGTTCTCTCCTTGCAGTGATCTGTCACATGGAGGGGAGTGGAAAGTGGCCCCACGACCGCCTCGCAATCCGCCACATTCGAGCTGCTTTCCACATATCTCTGGCTGAGTTACTCAAGAAGGACCATAATTACACATGCAGGCCCTGTCCCACTCACCTGGATGTGTGGAAGGTATATATTTAAACGTTTATGGTCTCTCTAAGCAAGTCTTTATGAAGCAGCACTATGTAAGGGGTAGGAATGCAGCATCTGTGCAGCTTGGTATCTAAGAGCATTGTTTGGGTTTTCCTTCCTTTCAGAATGGTTTAGCATTTCGAATCCAGGTGGCGTACCATCGTGAGCCTCAGGTCCTGCGCGAGAGGGTGACTGCTGAAGGGCTGCTGGTTGTGAGGGACAACGAGGAGGCTCAGGCTCTGGAGATGGCAACGATTCACAAACCGCTACTTACCAGCATGTTACACGGGTAAAATCAAATCTTCATCAGAAAGTAAAGTTTAATTTTCTTTTTGGAGTTTTTATTCTTCCATTCTACTCTTCTATTGTGGATGTTAACATATCGTTATACTCAACTTTTTACTTTGTTTTCATTAGTCTCCAGCAGCAGCACCCATGTTTTGGAGCCGTTTGTCGCCTGGCTAAACGCTGGCTGGCGGCTCAGCTCTTCAGCGACGAGATCACAGAGGATGCAGCCGATCTGCTGGTGGCATCGCTCTTCCTGCAGCCTGCACCCTTTACTGCTCCTGGGTATTTATAAATAATCTCTTTATTCGTGGAAGTCACGTTTTCCCAGATGCTTTGTTTTGTTCAGTAGGTCACATGAATGTCGCTGTCTTCCTTAGCTCTCCTCAGGTGGGCTTCCTTCGCTTCCTTCATCTGCTCTCGAGCTTTGACTGGAGGAACAACCCGCTGGTAGTCAACCTGAACAACCAGCTCACAGGCAAGTGCTCACACACACTCTCACACACACACTCTCTCACACACACTCTCACACACACACACACTCTCACACACACACTCACACACACACACACATTCAATATGGCACAAACAAATCTCCCCCTGACCTCCTTCTCCTTTGACATACTTCAACATCCTGTTATCCATATATTTTGGATGTTTTCAAGTTTGATTGTTCACCTCTCTGCCACGTGTAGCTGCAGACTACACAGAGATCAAGAATGACTTCATGGCGTCGAGGGACTCTCTGCCCGTCATGTTTCTTGCAACGCCTAAAGACAAAAAGCTGTCTTTGTGGACCCGACGAGCACCAAGCATACAGGTCAACACACACACACACACACACACACACACACACACACACACACACACACACACACACACACACACACACACACACACACACACACACACACACAATCTGCACATTTAATAGCTCAACACTGAGTGCTACAACACTACGTTTGGTCAGTAAGCATTAAATAAGGCCAAGTAATATTTTTAGGATAATATATACATTCATTCAGCTTAGTTCACCACATTTTACTACTTTTTCCTTTTAGAATCATAAACAGCGGTGCAGGAACGAGTTGCATGTCCTAGGCAGAGAGCAGTCGCACAGTTTTCCAATCCGGGAGCCTATCCTTAATGCACACTGTTCTCCTGGATCACACTAGAAGAAAGCAAGCAGATCATATCACTTATAGAGACTTATGACAAATGTTAGTAGTAATCCTCGTGAAGATCATTTTTTGTTTCAGATTGACTTAAGTCACTCACCGCCGGCAAATAGCCGTGCTTTTTTCTCAGAACTGGAAATTTATTGTTCTGAAGTCTTTCCAAAACTTGGTGCAAGTCATTGATCTGAAAATGCATTTTAATAAGCAATACAGTATCAGATTTTACTTTTGTTAGTGTCTTTATAAATAGTAAATGTTTGAGACCATTGGGTGCTGCTCACCAGTTGCTTTTCATTGCTGTGCTCAGTCGCAGCGAAAAAAGTTGTGTGTTTAGTTTGGTGTTCCTCTTTTTGGGTTTGAGCATGGCTGTAAAAGAGTCCAGGGGTCCACAGTTGTGAAAAGAAAAGAAACGCACACCAGCCTCTCATGGCACGTAGCTGACCCAGATAAGTTTCCTGTGCACCTCGATTCTCCAACAGACTCTGCTGTGACGCCTAGCCTCTCCCAGCATCCTCCTTTATATGAGAGGCAAAAAGCAGGACGTCTGTAGTCTGTGACGTCACTACGAGCTTCATGACGGAGGTCCATAAACGTTATTCAGGTGGCAGATTCAAAGTTAAACAAATATAGAATATGTCAAAAGTTTAACATGAAATGTTAACTAAGAAAACTGAAATTTTCACAGAAAGTTCAAACTTTTTCAAGTTTATAGCACCTAAATGTTGATTTAAACAGCACCTCTGTTGTAGTTTAACTATAAATAAGTGTAGCCACTTCATTTTGAAGCATGCTATGTTTACTAGGATCACAAAAATGGTAAATGGCCTGTATTTGATATAGCGCATTCTAGAGTCCTGGAACCCCTCAAGGCGCTTTACAACACAATCATTCACCCATTCACACACACATTCATACACTATCTTCAATCAATCAATCAACTTTTATTTGTATTGCACTTTCCATCATCCTCAGGGGGACCCAAAGCACTGAACACAGCACAAATAAAACATAGAAACAAGACACCAATAAAACTAGGATAAAAAAGGAATAGAATCAATAATGACAAAAAAAATTTTTAAATAATAAAAACCATTAAGATCACTTTGAACCTGTCACCAAACAGATTAGGTGAATGCCAGACATAAAAATGAGTCTTCAAGTGACTCAAAAGCAGTCAATGATGGAGACGGCTTAATGTTAAAGGTAACTTGTTGCAGAGGGACGGTGCTAAAACAGAAAACGCCCTATCCCCACATGTCCTAGACCTGGAGCAAGGCACAGTCAACAGGAACTGATCTGCAGAGCGCAATGATCTTGAGGGTACATGTCTTTTTAACTGATCCCCAAGGTATGGAGGGGCACTGCCCTGAAAAAATTGATAGACGAATAACAGAAGTTTATACTGTGCCGTATAGGAGAAAGGAAGTCAGCACAGGACAAATATGGTCCCATTTCTTAGACCCTGTCAGATACCTGGCCGCACTGTTCTGCACCAGTTGCAGACGTCGAAGATCAGTCGGACCCAACCCATCATACAGAGAGTTACAGTAATCCAGCCTTGATGTCACAAAGGCATGGAGTACTCATTCCGAGTGGGTCCGTGATAGCAATGGCTTAATTTTAGCTAGGCGATGCAAATTAAAAAAGCGGGAGCATACCACCAGGTTGATATGAGCGTCAACTTTTAATCCAGAGTCAAGCCTAACCCCAAGGCTAGTGACAACTGATTTCTGACATGGAGAGAGAATATTCAGGTCAGATATAGTGCCAAAGTCTGACCTAAATCTCGGGGGAAAGATGGTAAGCTCCGTTTTATGCTCATTAACATGCAGGTAGTTAGCAGCTAACCAAGACTTGACTTCATTAACACAGTTAACCAAAGTCGTAACAGAGGCACCATTCCCAGGACATAGTGGTGAGTAGATCTGTCAGTCATCAGCATAAAGATGGAACTCAACACCAAGACCACGGAAGATGGACCCCAGCAGAAGCAAATAAATGGCATATAGGAGTTGACCGAGAGTTGAGCCATGCGGAACCCCCCAACGCAGAGCCTCCCATGACGAAACAACTTTTTCCCATTTTCACACAAAACCTCCTACCATGGAAATATGACCAAAACCATTCAAGTGCTGATCCTGAGATCCCCAACCACCACTCCAACCAATCAAGCAAAATATCATGGTCAATCATATCAAAGGCAGCAGTTAGATCTAATAACAGCAGTGCCTCAGAGAAACCATGATCTAAAGATACATAGATATTATTTAAAACCCTAAGTAAGGCCGACTCAGTGCTGTGGCCAGACCTAAACCCTGACTGAAAATTGACTGAAATAAATCAGTCCAATAGATGAGATTCTCACTAACAACGATAAACAGGTTTCTGATCCTGCCAGCTAACACATGCGTTAGGCTCCAAGGCAATGACCTCTGATCTCATCTCTTCAGGCTTCTGAACCAACTCAAATGTAACCTATAAATAAATAGTAAATTTCGTTCTTTTTTTAATACATCTAACTATAGCCAATTTTGGGAAACGGGGAAACCCTTTTCTTGAACTTATATTACAGCAAAAAGAAAAGTCATTAAGAGTGGAATAAAGTACTTTTCTCATCAAGTATTCTTAAAGTAGTTTAGTTAAAAAATGAGGGTATAGTTTTCAGGTGTTGCTGAGGATGAGAAAAGTATTAGTTAAAGAGACGATGTGTAGTTTTTACAATTCATTTCTGGAAATATCCATCAAAATGTTGTTGAAAATGAATGAAATGATGTCCAGTAGTTGAAAAACATTGGCGGCTTTGTAACATATAATCAGGTCTAAAATACATGGGAGTGGGTCTAAGTCTCTGGGCAATGCCATAATATATGCCATGTTTCCTTCTACGGAAGCCCATGAGGACAAAATGTAATTACTGATTTGAAACAAACGGTTACAAAACTTTTGTAATTCATAAATGTTGTTTTACAGATCTACCTCTTTATTTGTTGCCAGTGATGAAAGGGAGTCTGATGTGCTCGTTATTTTGCTAAAGTTTGTACTCCCCAGGGCTTTTTGACCCTAATAGGCATCCCTTCGTGAGGTCTTACTCCAACACAAAAATTCTGCTTGCTTGCAACGATTTAGGTGTCTACTGCCCCCTATCACCAGGAAAATTCACACTTTCACATTAAGAGTTGACAGATTCACACAAAACTTTTTTGTTAAAACATGTAATTCCATCCAGAAAATATTCTTTATTTGACAGTCCTCGTCTTAACTACTCTTCCTGCTGTTTGCATCTCATTAATTCTACCTCCAATGACAAACCATAATATTCTGAAGACAAATTCACTGAGTGAGTATTTAAAAAGCAACCTTTGAGATAACGTTCCTCTGATCGTGTAGTTTCTTGGAGCGATGGCTGCATGCTGATCTAGAGATAGAGGAAGAAAACCCAGTTATTGGCCTTGTTCGAGTTGAGCAGCATCTCGCCTGGAAACCAGACGAGAGCAGACGGAAGCAGCAGGGGGAGTGGCTGAAAGCCGGCGTTAAAGTCGGACAGATTTCCCTGCATGTGTAGCTCGCGGGTGACCATGGCTGAAGATATCGCGTTAGCGTTCACATTTGTTTATTTTTCAATTTTAATTCTGGTTCCTGTTAGCAGCTGAAACACATCCTCGTGTGCTTGTGGATATCATATATTGTATATGAAGACATGACTGTAATAATAAGTAAAGGTTATCAGCTGTAGGTTTAGTGTGCTCATAGGAAACGTGACAAAAATAAAACAAAACACATTTCTCTTTATGGCCTATATAGTTGTCATCATCAACGTAACATGATTTACAGAATACATGTGAACAACTAACATTTCATGTTCTACCATCGGATGTTTGGATCAAAATATGAACCAATCAGATCTTGGATCAGGTGAGAGCCAGGCGTTTCCCGTCATCCCCTAGGTTTTGCAGCCGATGGAGAGCAACTGCAGCGCCTTGCTCCAAAATCTGCGTCCGCCTTGATCTCACGAGGTTATCGTTGCCTACGTATGCTTGACGTCAGAGCAAGTCGGCGTCAAGTCGGACACAAAGCTAACCGGCATGCACTGCTCGCCGATCACCGCTGATCCAATCTGCGCAGAACTGGCTTATCTCGAACACGGCCATTGTCTTTTGTTACCCTGCAAACATGCAGCTCAGATGTGTTGTATATATCTGTTAGGTGAGACTGGCTGCTAGTCCGTCCTTTAGCAAGAAGGTGAAAGGGGACCCTCTGCATGAAGACCAATCTCAGCCCTCTCCTTCACTCGCTGTCAAAAATGAAACTCTTAACAGTAACAATCCTGACTGTCCTAACCCCGCCTCTAGGGAGGAGCCTCCTTTGCACCACCTCATGACCTTCTGGAAAACTTCAATGATTGCAGCTCCCATATGCCAAAAATCGAACGTTTTAGTTGTTAAGTAGACGTGTTTTTTAGTTACTTTTTAATGAAATTAATAAATTGATGTGCCAATTGCTGTTTAATCATTCAGTCCCTGAAATTTTATGCTACAGTTATTTACATAGTATTATTCAAAAGGGGTTAAAATCAATTAAATCTTTTCAATATTGTTTTACATGCATCTATTTTTATTCAATTCAATTCAAGTTTATTTATATA